TCCCCGACCCATACTCCTCCATACCCTGCACGCCCCCTCACTGCCTGCGCAACCTGGCAAGAGCCACTTACCTGACTGCTGGCCTGGTACTTGCAACTTCTTGCCGGCTTCCCACAACCAAATTCAGTGGGGAAGCCAGCAGGAAGTTGGCTCGCCTAATGACCATCGATTTGGCTAACAATGACAACTGGGACTGCAGGGATTGCTGTCGCTAAGCGATGCGGTTGCACTTTACGACCACATTGCTTGGCGAAGGAAATTCCAGTCCCAATTGCCATTGTAAGTTGAGGACTACCTGCGTATATTAAACAAACCAACATTGGTTTGTTAACCTAGAAAATAATATACTATCCAGTTAACTAAAAACAGACTTTAAAACTCTGCCATCCAGTTATGTGGGAGAAGGAGACTGGTTGTTCCAGCTCATGAGTGATAGTCTATCTCACTACAGTGGTAAGAGAATTAATATGGGATTACTGTTACCACTAATTACTGCTGTTGTGAATGGCTACTTGCTTACTTTTAACTTCACATAAAATTGTTATAGGTTGCATTTTTTTACATTTCATTGTTATTTAATTTTTCTTCACTATTGTCTCAGCAGCAACTGAGGATAATACTTGATAAATCTCATAAAGTGAATTCTATTGCCTCTTTAGGGAAGAATAACATTTTTTGTTGAATTTTGTGCATCACACTAACATGGTTTCTTCACTGGAAATGTGCACTTATAAGTCCATTTCTTTAAAAAAAAAAAAGATATAAAAAATTCTGGCTAAATGTAATCAGTAAATATTGGTTTTACAGAAGTGATCCAAAATTCTGTTTTGCTGAATTACTGAGTTGTGACTATAGAGTTGCACAACTATAAAGTTATCAAATTTAGTAATATTGTAAGGCTAGCAATTAAGTAACAGCATCCATCCAAAGTACATTATTTATTATCTTTCTGTTCAACCTATTTCACATAATTGTGAGCACAGAATTGGAGGAAGTGAGCTACAGAAGGAAAGACAGAATATAAATGAGTGAATAAAATAAATGACCATGGACAAATGTCTATTAATATTATTTTTACTCACATCATACTCTGAAATTTCAGGTACACTGCTTGCCTCTGCTTTCTCTGCTTTTTCAGCTGCCCATCGGCTTGCAGCCTCTGCAAGCTCCTTTTCTGATAACCGGCTACTTTTGTCTAAGGTCTGATGAGAAAAGAACCCCAAAGTGCAAATGTCGAAGTTTTACACAATAAGATAGAAACGTTTTAGTGAACAGTTTAAGAATCCTTAAGCAAACGTATTACTGCAGCAAAAGCTATCTATTGGATAAAGAATGTTCTGTTCTGCCAGCAGAACTCCCCCAACAATAAATCTTCTGCAGAGCACTGGGGAACTCTCCAAAATAAACTAAGGACATACATGAACCGAGATGCAGAAGAGACTAACAAAAAACCCCATTACACTCTTGCTTAATGTAATACTTTAAAATATATGCACAAAATCAAAAGAGAGAAGCATGTGGCACAAACCTTCTCTATTCAAATTATTTAAGTTTAATGATAAACTTACCTTTGCCGGTGGCACTGCTGTAGCTCCTGAAGGAGATACATCTCTTGAAGTCTTCAAAGTCTGAGTTGAGGATCTCTCTTTACATAAAGAAGATATAAAAATATGAGTAGAAAAACATCTTAGCCTATGTGACTAAGTCTATGAAGGAAAAACCCTGAAAATATGTTAAAAAACAACTAAGATGATTCTGTGAGTTGAATTTAGTTAGACCAGTGGTTCTCAAACATTTTGGTCTCAGGAGCTCTTTGCATCCTTAAAAATTATTGAGAATCCCGAAATGTTTGTGTTTTTTATATATATATCCATATGCACTGTGTTAGAAATTAAAATGAGAAATGTTAAAATATTTGATTTTGCGGACTCCCTGAAGCGGATCTCCTCTTCAGGGATCCCCAGACCACACTTTGAGAACCACTGGGTTAGACCAATATTTTTCAACCTATAGTATGCATATCAGTGTTATGATGTAGAAGCAGTTTTTTTTCATAATTATTAATAAACAGGAGTTTTCCTGACAATTAAGATTTCTCTCTCTCTTTCTTTGTGACCAGCATCACGTTTAATGTATAAACCTGCTGGTACTTTTATATACTGCATCTGCTTAACAGCCTGAAGAACCACTGCCTTTTCACTGAAGCTTAGAGTGCAATAGTCTAGATTGAAGAAGCATTACCTACACAAATTCAGCAGTTTTGCTGAAGTGGATTCTTTGTAAAAAAAACTTCCCTAATCTTCCCAAATTATTATCTTCAATTTCCCGGGTGCATTGCCCTTTTTTCCTCATGTTCTTCTATGTGAAATCTTTGCTACTTTGTGAAAAACACGAAAAAAAGGTTTTCCTCTCATTTTCTCCCACCACTACCAGGTTCCTCAAGTAAGCATATATCACATAGACCAGAGCTGACAATTCACCTTAAATGTTATTGCTTCCCTTGACCTTCTTGGACTTTTACCACTTTGCAAACAATTGTTAAGAAAAACTTTCCTCCAAAGCAGCAAAAAGAAAAAAGAGGCTCTGGGTAAAGCAAGCCAATCAGCAACCTCTCTCCTCCACGCTGCTGCCAGAGTCTCAAAATGCTTGCCCCAATCAATTTTTCAGCCTTCAATCACTGGCCTCCACACAGCCTTTTTGCCCTTTTTCTACTCTGCAAGCAGGAGGAAGGAAAGCGAGAAGCTAGAAACAAGTTTTGGTAGTCATACAGTGGTTGCCTGGTCCACTGTTTTGCCTTGGGACAGGGGTATATATACTGTATATGCTTACTGATCCTTAGGTTATGGGAGAGAAAGGATATATATTTAAAATTAATTATAAATATAATAACAGAATACTTTTAACAATGTTTTATCATTCTCAATTTGGATCATACAGCAATGGTTCTCAGCCATTAAACAATTTAGATGGAATATAGGATAGGTGACTGAACTTTTAAATCTTTAGACATAACCATGATAAAGGATTAATAGAATAACATAACGCATATAAACTTTAGAGTCCTTCTCAAAAAAAGTTGGAAGAGGATGTTCGTTTGTATTATGGTGGGACAAGAGTGCATTGTGGGATGCAAAATACAGAAAGTTGAGGACCACTGGGTTAGGCCATCTAATGCATTCTATTCAAAGGCCTACTTCTTAGGCAACCGACTTGAAGAGACAAGCCCAGGGAACATTATTCTGGGGAAGGGAAGGGAATACATTGTCCATCTACAGGAGGGGGAATACATAATAAAAAATCTTCTCCCTATATTAACCCAGAAGAACATTCACTTTTTAAAAGGATATTTATATTTTTAACATTCCTGAATTAAGCATTAACCAGTTAGGTTGCAATTATATACATTTGTGCAACAAACCTGATTATTAAGTAAATGAACCAATTACGTACTAACGCAATTCAAATAAAATAGCCCCAAAGCTATAATATAGCTTTGCTTTATTTGAGAGTCATTTTATTTCACTGCTTAACTTTACTATCTTCCTAAAATCAAGTGATTATACTGTATTACTTCTAGAAGTAATTTCACTGCAGATCATAAAAATCAGTTATTTCTTATTATATTCTTAACTCAAGACAGTTTCAGAGGCTGCTTCCCAGACTTCAGGGACAGAAGTACTACTCAAGGGATGTTATACTAAGTGGAAAATTATTTTCAGCAATTAATGTTTCCTCCTGCTTTCCCAGCATCATCTCCCTCATTGTTCCAGATGACTCTCCTTCCTGGGAGCAGTTTTGGAGATGAAGTAGGAGTGGTAGGGATAAAGAAGAATGTGTAAATTCTCTTTCCCTTCCACAAATGGAAAACATCCTTCCATGATCAGATAGATAAGAACTCTCTGGATCTTCTCGTCATGCTACAGGGATACCCTTAAATTATTAAACTTTTTGCTTGAGTAGCATAGGAAAATACTTTATGCAGTGACACACAAAATATAAGGAAATGTAAAATGCTGGATTAGGTAGTTTTTTCAAAGCAAAATATAGGTCTTCTTGTATCCTTTGTCAGCAAAGATACAATTTTAATATAAAAGTTCTCAATGAACTGTGAATTAGCAATACAATATTGCACATTGACAAAATGTATGTACTGATATGTATGTTCAAGATAAATAACGAAACCACTTGTTTTTCCTCTCCTTCTCCTTCCCATTCACTTTCTCTGCTTTTTTCCCCTCTGCCTTATGTCCTTTTGACTGTTTTTTTTTTTTTTGGTTTGCTTATTACTATGCAAAACTGTTACTTGAAATATTCTTTCACCAGAGAAAATATGGTTAATTGAAGGACTGCCTTTTCCCAATTTCATCTGCCTGAACCACCAGATCAGGGAGGCAGGGTACGTTATTGCCCCACTAAGGAGGTCCATCAAGTGGGACCAAGAAGGACCTTTTCTGTGGTGGCTCCCTACCTGTGGAATATCATCCCCATGGAGATAAGACTGGCCCCCACCTTGATACTCCTCCAAAAGGCCCTGAAGACATGGTTTTGCCAGCAGGCCAGGGGATCCCTGGTTGATATGGAGCCCATCAAGTGGTTTGTTTGAATGTATTGCTGTCACCAGGGGGGTGGAGATGTAGTGGGTTTGTATTTGGTGTTTTATTTCTGTAACCTGCCCGGAGTCACTGTATGGGCAGCCATATAAATTGCTTTAATAAAATAATATAAATAATAAAAATACATGGTGCAAAGGACTGAATTCCTCCAGTATTTAGCGCTGTAGATTTTCTTTACAGGGGTAGCCATGTCAGCTCATGGCTTTGTGTTTTCTTTTTTTAATAGTTAATCCTACATTACCTTGTTGGGAAATATTTCTTTTATGTAAAGATGACATACTTCTGCTATGCTGGGACTGATGGAAGGCATAGGCTTTGCTTCTATCAGGCGAATAACTTCTGCTGCTGACACTGGAGCCAGATCTGCTGTGAGGAGATTCCCTCCTGCCAACTGGTGATTCTCTGAAGTAAGGGGAATCCCTTTTATGCGGGGAGCGATCTCTTGTATAATGAGGATATATAGGTTTCCGCCGCATGCCATCTCTGATATCCCTTTAAAAGTCATTGAAATAAAGACATTCATTTATTCAGCAAAGTTAATATTTATCTTTTCCTGAACTTTTCATCAAAGAAAAGTCAATTCTCTTACTGTCAAAGAAGAAATGCAACAATGAAAATCTGCATTCTAAAAACAAACAAATGACTTAAACACTCCAACAGAAAAAAACATCAATAAGGTATAGAATGGAAAGAGTTATAGTGTAGGAGGCAAGTTCAAATTTTGAACAGCTTCAAAAATAAGTACAGCTAATTTGCTAATTCGTTTTAGGGATTTGGAAGATTTTACTCCAATTCAGACAGGGTCCTAGTTTTGTCTTATTTTTTAATATTTCCCCATTAAGAAAAAAAGACTTCATAAGATTTTATAGCTGGAAATCCTTCCTTTCACATTTTCTTGGATTACAGTAACAAATGTCTAATCCCAATTACTAAACACCAAGAAGCAAAACATTTCCTGGCACAGCTCTGTTAACTTTTCATCAGACATTATAATTTACCCTTATGGAAATCAGGTTCTTCAGGAAAAAAAGTGAGGTTTCCTTTATTTCATACTATTTTATGTTTGCATATAATGACCAATTTAAACACAATGAAAAAAAAATTCCACCCACTAGAAAACTCAATAGCCAAAGTTAACTTTGCACCTGGCCATTAAATCAAAGCACAATATACTAGGGGAAAAAAAAAAGGATAATGAACAAAGCTTCAAGCTGTAGAGATACTCATAAAGTTAACAAGTGTAGAAACTCACACTAACTAGATCTAGATTAGGATTGTCCATTACAGCCAGGAAATACGTAAAGGGGTATTCTTCAATGTACTAAAGTGTTCTTACCTCCTCTCTAGGCTTTTACAGCCATTATATTGCCGTGCAATAAAAGAGAAATATTTAAAGCAAACTGAAACACAAGTTATTTAACTGCTTACTTGTGTCTCTTTCAAGTATATGCTATAAGTGCATGACCTGCAGAGAGCCACACACAGATTCAGCCACTGAATTAAAGGTAAATGGAGGAAAAGAGACCTCTAGTGTACACTGGAGGCTCTTCAGCACTGAAACAAACATTATTTGCATGGAGCTTTTTCCAGGATTGTAGCTAACAATAAAACAATCATAATACAGGGTGCCAACTTAGCAAGCTAGAGCCTGAATGGATCATAACCAAAACTTGATTCCAAAATATAGGAATTCTATGTTATATTTCTATAACACCCCAAAAATACAAATCTGCAATCTTCATTGTAACTAAAATGCAGAGTACAGATTCAACATCAACCCAATCTTTTTGTCTCTACTTACTTAATATCTAGACATGCATAGAGCTAAAGGTATGTGTATTTGTGTGTGTGTGTACATATACATATGGAAATGTATGTATACAAACATATGTATACATACATATATCTTACAAAAGAAAACCAACATCAACTTATTACAAAATATCCAGCATTAAATAGTATTAGCATCTGGAATGTGCGCTAAACTTTCCAAAACCCCTGCCTTTGTATCTCTTCTTGCCTGTTTCCTCATTGTACTTTTAACTTTTAGATTCCTAGAGTATTTTTGCTCAGCTACTCTCCCCTCTCAGTACATTTATTTCTACCACTAGAACTGGCTGACTTACAGGAAATTGACTTTCATTATTTCATATTATTTATACATATTTTAAGATGTCATTAGCAGCCAGATACATCATAAAAAAATTTAGGCCAATTATAAATCTGTCTGGAAAACAAAAAGCAAGCACTCCATTAGCAAAAAGGTTAGGAATTTCTAAAGGCCAAATATGGAAATAGGATGTGAGAAGTGCTTAAGCAAAGTTTCATTTCAGATGTCCTAAGAATCTGAGGTGTAATGACCAAGGGAGGAGAGAAGATAAGCATAAAGATAATTCTCAGTCAGGTAAGACATAGTTTAACACATAACCAGCTACTGTTTAGCTATACATATGCTCTGCTAGGTGGAAGTCAAGAGGCATTTTCCACTAGTACACAAAAAAGCATATTTGTGATGGTAGTACACTGATATAGTTAAGTATTTTACCCAGTGTTTCTCAACCTTGGCCACTTGAAGATGTGTGGACTTCAATTCCCAGAATTCCCCAGCCAGCATGGCCAAGGTTGAGAAACACTGATTTTACCAATGAATAAAGGAAATATAACTTTGAGATTGGAGCACAAATGAATCCATTTATATGTCAGGCAGACAAGCATGCAAGTCAAATACAACATGAATAAGGTTGATAAAATTGGTCTCTTTAAACAAACAACAGGAAAATTATTTTGTTTAGGAAAGAATAATGTTAATATAATTTTACTTTAGTAATTAATAGATTAAAACTTGTTTATCTACAAAAATTATAGAACAATACACTTTAATTCAAAGTCTTCCATACCCAAACTAAAACTTGCTTAAATGTATTTTTATTAGAACAGAGTTAAGAAATCAAAGCCTATTCAAGGCTATTCTGTCATTCTTCAAATAAAGCAAAGGATAGATAAACCACCAAATAGCCCATATATTAAAGATTACACTAAATAAGCAACATGAACCATACTACCAAAGGTAGCAATTACTTCAAAATTCAAAAAAAAAATCAGTTGTGTGAACTATCTTTGAAAAAGTATTTCGCTTCATAAGAGGAATCAAATTATGCATATTCCTAGTCTGTACAGAGAAAAGAAGAAAGTTTGTCATTTTTATTTTTAAATATATATATAGAAAATAGACACACAAATACATATAAAATACATTATGAGTGTGAAAAGTATTCTTAAGATGTTCTTCACAAATCCCATGCTCATGTATATGTAGTTAAGATTTCTGCTGGAACAAAGCAAAATAGCTGTACATTCACATCACACTTACAGACAGCCAGGGGCAGCCTTTGAGGCAGCCTTCTTAACGATACAGCTGCTTAAAGAAGGGGTTTTCTAATAATGAAAAGGAAAGCAGTTTTATTAAACTGGTTTACTGCTAGGCGTTTTGAGCCATGTCTCCATGCTCTTTCTTGCTATTGTTATCACAGCAAGTGTGTCTTACCATAGCAAGCTATTCTTACCATAACAAGTGTGTTTAAGCTGGCCAAACTAGCAGTTCTAGCCAGATAGAGAAGCTGATCTCATATAACATGAAGCCTATGACAAAGAGGCTGAACTTCTTGACCTCAACGTTCTCCAGTTCATTCTTGACTGTGATTCTCTTTAGTTTTAGTTTTCTCTTTAGTTCTAAATAGTTTTTTTAAAAACTATTCTAAATGTACAGATATACAATGGTGCTTAAAAGTTTGTGAACTCTTGAATTTTCAACATTTCTGTATAAATATGAACTAAAATGTGATCTGTTGTCCTCACAAGTCCTAAAACTAGACAAAGAGAACCCAGTTAAACAAATGAGTCAAAAACAATATACTTGTTCATTTATTTATTGAGGAAAATGATCCAAAGCTACATATTTCTGTGTGGCACAACCCTAACCCTAACCTTTGCTTTCCGTAACTGGTGAGGCCCCCTTAGGGCAAAAATAATTGCAACTAAATGTTTCCAATAATCTTTGATCAGTCCTGCACATTGGCCTGGAGGAATTATATCCCATTACTCCTTACAAAACAGTTCAACTTTTACTTTTAAATCTGCTGCAAAGTAACTATCTGAACATGTATAACTTAGTTAGCAGTACTCTTTTCAAAAATTCTGCACAAGTATATAAAACTAACCCAATTCATTACAAGTATGAGTTAACATACTTACCAATGTATATACACCTTACCAATTTTTTACAATTGCCATTTAGAAAATTGGCTTTCATTGTTCTATTGGATAGTCTGGTCTTTCCAACGTAGAATATATTCAATATTTCTGAATACCGAAAGAGCTCTTACATTTATTATAGCATTTTAACTCCACTCTATGCCTTACATTTTCAGGATGGCATTAAGGCCATTAAAAAACAAAATCACAATAAAATCATACTATTACATCAAAGGCATAAACAGAACAGCAAATTAAAAAGAATAGGTAGTGCTTCCTTAACAACTGTAATTGGGACCAGAATTTCCATTGCTAAATGATGTGGTTGTAAAGTGTACTTCATGTGGCCGTGTTGCTTAGCTATGGCAATCCTGGAATTCCCTGTTGCCATCATTAAGTGAATTACCGTGGGTCATTAAGCGACAACTTCATGTGATTGCGATTTCTGACTTTCCGCCAGCTTCCCCACTGACTTTGCTTGTGGAAAGCCAGCAGGGAAGGTCAGAAATCGTGATCACATGATACAGGGATGCTGCAACGGTCATAAATCCGGGCCAGTTGCCAAGCACCTGGATTACAATCATGTGACTGCGGGGGTGCTGCAACAGTCATAACTTTGAGGAACGGTCGTAACTACCACTTGTTCAGCACCTTTGTAAGTTCGAACAGTCACTGAACAAGTGGTCATTAAGTGAAGACTACCCATACTCCAAAATAAATACTTTCATTTCATCAAGTCAGCATTAATCTTCCTTGACACTAGAGACCAAAATTGCTCTTCAGAAACAAGTTATCTCTGTTTTTTAGTCAAATTATTGTTGTAGCTTTCAACATATTCAGATGTTAAACCAAAAAAGGCATATGTTCAATTAATTAGCAGCCTTACTTATAACTTTTGTAGATGGACATTTTGAAGATATTAATCAGATAATTTGTTACAGTATTCTTCACGTTAACATTTCACTTAACTGAAGTTTGACCATTCAAAAAGATTATAAAAACTTAAGCCTCGTTATACCAACTAACACATACAAGGAATCCTTGTTCAGCTACTGTCTGATGTTACGACAGTGTTGAACGAGACAACTGTTCTTCGTAGTTGCAGCCATTGCAGCATTCCTGTGGTCATGTGATAGCAATTCGGGCACTCGGTAACAGGCTCGCAATTACAATGTTACAATGTCCTGCAGTCACATGATCACCATTTGCAACCTTCACTGCTGGCTTCCATAATGCATTGCCCCCAAACTAATTCATTCCAACTTTTTTTAACATCCTGCTTCAAGTACTCAGAAGTGGTCATAGTATTCAGGTGAAATCTAGTGTAGAAAAAAAATGAAGGCATTACTTCTCATGATTTGGAATTAAGAGAAGGAAAAAATATTTTGGCAACATTTATTCATGATATTCTCTTGATGCTTTCAACTTTGTGTGTTTTGGTATCTTATTCAATTCTGAAATTAAACCACTAAGCAAATATGTATTTTCAAAATTTCAAAGACTGGGATATTTGCCTCTTTCAAATCATGCAACATGATTTGGAATATCCTTCAATGACAATGGTTCTGAGGGTTCATTAGCCAGCTTCTTTGGCAACTACCTGTCACTGAAGACTTCAATTTGCTGGACTGTCCTGGGTACCTATAGTCAAATCTCAGAGTACCAGTTAATTTAACATACACAGATTGGTTTCCGATGTTTTGATTCTAGAGATTTCAGAAGTTTATGTAGCTAAATTGAAAAACAGTACCTGTAATCAGGCGGCCGACTATCAGGATGATCTTCCCTTGACCATCTATATCCTGGATCATCCTATAAAAGAATATTTCAGCATAAAGAAAAATTTAGTTTTAACTAAATAATTTACTTTAATACCAGATATAAAATAACATATCTGCTAGACCAAAACTGGTAAATCCAGAGAAAATAAAGCACGAATAACAATAAAGTGGGGAATAAACAACAACAAAAAACGCTGTGAATATATGTGTGTGCGAGCATTTAGAGAGGCATATACATGCATACATGGATATATGTAGCTATACTGTATGTGAGCACACCATGTGACACAGCATGTGACTGAGCAAACTCATAGAGTTTGATGAGCTGTGCTATCAAACCGAAGATCAGTTCCCATTTTCAAAGAAATATGATGGATTATGTTCTGTTAAAAGATATTCATTTTTTATTACGAAAAACACTGTTAATATATCTAAGCAACAGTAACCAGATTTCAATACATGTATCTTTATTTGTAGAGTTTTACAGGCTCTTGTTGATTTTTTTTAGTCAAATTTCTCAAAGATTAATTTTACCAATACTTTGCAGTAACAATAAACTAATAACGAAGAATGCTATTGTATGCAAAGAACCTATTTCTCAAACCATTTCAAGCACAATGCATGATATTGTCAGTTATTTTGGAACTGTTTTATGCTTGAAACAACCTTTGGGAAACTGTACTCAAAACAGTTTGAAACAGGGTATTTTACACATCCGCTACCAATAGCAATTAAGGCAATAGCAATAAGACACTGTGAAACACCGCTGAATAATTTCTGGGATTTCTTCAGAAATTATTGATTAAAAGAAATTAATTTAGCACTACCACTAAAAATGGTAATAATGTATCTTTAAAGGGAAAAAGAAAAATGTATTGAACAAATATTAAATCCAAAAATAAGAGACTTATTTATCATATTTCTATATAAGAAATAGCCAAGGTATCATTACTAAAGCAGACTGGTGATTGCTATGCATCCATTGTTGTTTTTTGCATGTCGAAGGGACGCTATTTGTGAATGAATTCTCTTTCTCTTCTGAAGCTCAATGCTGTTTCTCAAGTTTTCTCCAGAGAGCTAGGAAACTTTAAGTATTAATCTTCAAGATTTCAAAAGCCTGATTGCTTTTCTACAGTATTTTCATGGTGTTGCAGTACAAAGTTTAAATATCAAAAAATATTTTCTTAAGTACTATTCATTTAACACAGAATTGCATCTAGTAATTGTGGAACATTTAGCTTCCAGCCACATAGTAATCAGGAAAGGGAAACTCACAATTCTATGTGGCAGTCCACTTCTTCTTTCATGGGCAAAACCTCGACCTTCACCATAGTCTCTGTAGCCAACATGAGCATGACTATATTCATATCTGCTGTAGCCTCCTTCCCCAGGTCTTTCTGGAAGTGGTGGTTTCTTGGGTGCAAAGCTGACTACTCGATGGTAGTCATCCTAAAATTATATACAATACCAATTTTTAAAAATATATTATACATAATAAAAATAATCTGAAAGATTAAAATGGACACTGAAGTTTTAATAAAGCCAGTAAATACATTAGAAATCAAGATACATTCTTGTTTTAGTTCATGCCTCTGTTAAAGAGCAGATAAATGAAACAGCCTGAACCTAACAAGAAGTTGAAAATAACTGAACGATAGATTGTGGTATCAGTCTCATAAAGGTGAACAAATACTTGAACTAAATAATTGTTTTGTCTACACAGTTGAGTATCTTCTATCATATTATAAAATCTTTACCATTATTTGGAAATTGTTTGGTACATTTTTCATTGCTTAGCCATAACTGTTTAGGTCCAAGCAGAATTTAGAAAATTTAGAATTTAGTAAATTCAGAGGCAGAGAAACCTCTTCCATAACATTTCCTTTTCAATATTTTAAGGAAGCTTTAAAACTTGCTAATTCTCTTTAAAATTCTTTAACATTCAAGAATAATTGCCCTTATATAATATTATCTATATTTTTACTGACTTAAATAGTTTCAAAGCAACTGTTTCATTCTTTGAAATAATTATGCCGCAATAACTTGCAAACTGAAGTTTTATGGTTGTATACAGCTTTATAGATTGTAATTTTTAAATTAATAAGTCTTTTAAAATGAATACTACAACTTTTGATTTACAGGAAGAATGGAATTACATTATTTTTTTTCTAAACTGACTTTCAAAATAAGTATCTATTATTAGCTAAGACTATAAAAGATTCAGAAGACACAAAGGTCAGGATTCCAAAGGAATGCCCATAGTATTTTGTGTTAAAAAATGTTCTCAACTTGTTTCTCTTAATAACATGATTTTAATCGTTTAATATCCTATGTCCTATGGCAAGCTAGTTATTATTCTGAGAAGATTTCCCAAAGCGTTTTGTGATATGAAATGGGGACAATGCTATTCAGAGTAAAAAAAATTAACTGAACACCAAACCCCCACACTCCTGTAATAGGTCTTTATATAACTAACAATGTAGTACTCTCATCATTGCTACAGAGGTAATGGGTTGTTAAAATTAATTGCATGCTACAACTTTGTTTGACATTTTCAACCATTCCCATTCACTCTGATGGAAAATAAATTGCTTTCAAATTTTCTTTTAGACATGAAGAACATTTTGGTTAAATGAGGTTTTGCATTTACCATGATTACAATTCAGTCAACTGGTGCATGCCCCACCTTTCATTATACAGTCACCTCCTGTCATAGCTTCCTAGCCTTCCTGAACTTTAATAAAAGTTCAGAAGACATCATGAAGAATTCTTCACCTAAAGCTTTTTCAGATATGGAAGTACAGGCAGCTAGTTCTGGGGAAGACTGTGCAGTGACGGACAGACATATAATAGTAAAACAAAACAAAAGAACCCACCAATACGTAATAATGATTAAATAAGCTCAAAAGTTCTATTAAAAGAATTTCAAAAGCAATTTGATAAACGGAACAGGAAAAAAAATATTTTGGAGGACAAGAAAACATCACAGGAATAGTAAGACAGATTTTGGCATATTAGTTTAAATGTTGGCATAATATTAGTTTAAATGTATTGCTGATCTTAAAATAAGGATGAGACACTTGTAAACAATTCTGAAAGTGGAGTTCAACAGTAGCTGAACTTCTGCTTACATTTTCTATGGGCAACCTGTAACTGCAAATCATTACTGAAAAGTTATAAGAGGCCTCAACAGCTCAGTTAGGCCTGACAAAATTTATTTTATTCAAGAGAATTACATATTAGACTGGAGGATTAAAAACATCAAGTTTGATCACTGATACTCCTTCTATTGGCTTACAACAATAAATCTGTGAGCTGGCACATATTACAGTAATTGTAAGCCATTGATTAGAAGACCCTTACTAAAACTGTTATACTGTCATCTAGGTACTGAGTAGCTGCCGTGTGAATGTTATTCGGAGAAATGTATTCAAATAAGGATGTACCAGTTTCTATAAAGTGTTGACACAATTTAAAGCAGTTATTGATTCATATAACATCTTACATATTAACATATACTTATATAAGATTTTAATAAAAATACTT